CTCCGACATGCCACAGTCCAGGTGTTAGTCCCCTTGAAACAACTTTTCCATCCCTATTGTGGCCAGAAAGAGTCCCTGTGTGTTTTAAAATTCGCCTCCCCATTGAAGTCAATGGCGTTTCGGGCGGTTCGCCGGTTCGCGAACACTTGCGGAAGTTCGCGTTCGCCGTTCGCGAACCGAAAATTTCGGGTTCGCGACATCACTAGCTGGCAATAAGGCTTCTCCATAATACAGGGAAGCAGGGCAATTTGTCACTTAAAGAGACAGTTACAAAAGGCATTTTTTAACAATAATCTTTCAATGTAGGGTAATAACTGCTTGATCCAAAGATAAATCAGACTGCCATTCTGGGGTCAAGAAGGAATTTTTTTCCTAGCTTGTTGCAAAATTGGAAGTGCTTCAAACTGGGTTTTTTGCCTTCTTTTGGATAAACAGCAAAAAACAAATGTGAGGAAGGCTGAAATTGATGGACGCAAGTCTTATTTCAGCTATGTAACTATGTAATGGGATACGGCTGTACAATCTATAGAGGGAACATATAAAGGAAAAAAAAAACACAATAGTGTAATACAATAAATACAGTGAATAGTGCACTTAAATGGATGCACTCACAAGATGATGAAAATAGAAGAGCATTCATAAGGTGCCTCCCCAGATAGCATAGGGGGCTAGTGGTTCCCCTTTCCGATGTGAAGCGACCAATGGAACACGGGACTCCAGGTAAGTAGTAATAAAAAAGCAATTCTTTTATTTTCTTAAAAGGTGAACAAGCACCATAAGAATAGAAGTTAAAAAGTGCAGCAATAGGTCCAACGCGTTTCGTTCAAAACTAGAACTTCATCAGGGACCGCACAGTAAAAAATCACAGACAATATCATAGATTGTAAAGTAACATCCTACTTTCCCCTAAACAGAATCTCTATAAATAGGGCTAGTCCCAAAGTCCCATTGGTCCATGGTGTAGGAGTGTCCAGTAGCCAGCCATTCATCTATCCAGGGGTATTCTCCTCCAGCTGATAGTGTTTGGATAGTTTAAATTGGGCGCGTTCAATGTGAAAGCCGAAACCGGAAGTGGACGTCTGCCTTCACTTCCGCGTTCCATTTGCGTTCCACATGCGTTCCAAACACGTTCAAATGCGTTCCAAGTACATTCACTGCTCTTTCTTAACTAGAACAGCGAGGAGCCATCAATGTAAGTGGTCATCAACGAGGACAAAGCCCAAAAGTGTTAAATACATTAAATATAATTAATCTCTAGAAGAAAAAAAGTGAATTAGTGTATACAATATACAGCAACCATATTAAGGTAGTTCATATGGAACTTCCCCACATATTATATATGTGACAATATCATACACCATTAAATAGTGCTATGTATGTCTATTTAAAGTGGCAAACATCTCCTTATTAAAAAATAAAAACACAGATAATACATTCCTAAAAAAGTTCCCTCAATATCAATAATTGTTGTTTTAAACCATATAACCTACTCAGTACACATAACTATATGATATAGAATTTTTTTATTTTTTTATTTATATAAATTATGAGTTGTATTGATTATAGACAATTCTTTTTCCATATATTTATACTGCCAGAGCTACTCATATTCCCAAAGATACATATGGAATAATTCACATAGAAGAGGAAAATAACCAAAAAATCAGTCCAAGAAACACACCAGATCGATCCCAATATTCAGACCCCTAGGTTCAAGGGTCTTTAATTTATGTATCCAAAAGGTTTCCCTTTGGGATAACTTTTTGACCCTATCGCTTCCCCGCCAGTAGGGAAGGACATGTTCAATACCCATACACTTAAAATCTCTAAAAGAGAAGGAAGGACAATTACTGCAATGGGCAGAGACTGAATGAGTAACCAGTCCCTTACGTATATTATTTAAATGTTCCAAAATTCTGACCTTTATGGGGAGAACTAAGGAATTTATTAGTCATATCACGGGAGAAACCTTTAAGATTAAATCATTAATAGGTTGCCACACGGACTATGTAGTATATTTACTGCAGTGTCCGTGTGGCAAACAGTATGTGGGACGCACGAAGCGTATCTTGAAGGTCAGAATTTTGGAACATTTAAATAATATACGTAAGGGACTGGTTACTCATTCAGTCTCTGCCCATTGCAGTAATTGTCCTTCCTTCTCTTTTAGAGATTTTAAGTGTATGGGTATCGAACATGTCCTTCCCTACTGGCAGGGAGGCGATAGGGTCAAAAAGTTATCCCAAAGGGAAACCTTTTGGATACATAAATTAAAGACCCTTGAACCTAGGGGTCTGAATATTGGGATCGATCTGGTGTGTTTCTTGGACTGATTTTTTGGTTATTTTCCTCGTCTATGTGAATTATTCCATATGTATCTTTGGGAATATGAGTAGCTCTGGCAGTATAAATATATGGAAAAAGAATTGTCTATAATCAATACAACTCATAATTTATATAAATAAATAAAAAAATAAAAAAATAAAAATTCTATATCATATAGTTATGTGTACTGAGTAGGTTATATGGTTTAAAACAACAATTATCGATATTGAGGGAACTTTTTTAGGAATGTATTATCTGTGTTTTTATTTTTTAATAAGGAGATGTTTGCCACTTTAAATAGACATACATAGCACTATTTAATGGTGTATGATATTGTCACATATATAATATGTGGGGAAGTTCCATATGAACTACCTTAATATGGTTGCTGTATATTGTATACACTAATTCACTTTTTTTCTTCTAGAGATTAATTATATTTAATGTATTTAACACTTTTGGGCTTTGTCCTCGTTGATGACCACTTATATTGATGGCTCCTCGCTGTTCTAGTTAAGAAAGAGCAGTGAATGTACTTGGAATGCATTTGAACGTGTTTGGAATGCATGTGGAACGCAAATGGAACGCGGAAGTGAAGGCAGACGTCCACTTCCGGTTTCGGCTTTCACATTGAACGTGCCCAATTTAAACTATCCAAACACTATCAGCTGGAGGAGAATACCCCTGGATAGATGAATGGCTGGCTACTGGACACTCCTACACCATGGACCAATGGGACTTTGGGACTAGCCCTATTTATAGAGATTCTGTTAAGGGGAAAGTAGGATGTTACTTTACAATCTATGATATTGTCTGTGATTTTTTACTGTGCGGTCCCTGATGAAGTTCTAGTTTTGAACGAAACGCGTTGGACCTATTGCTGCACTTTTTAACTTCTATTCTTATGGTGCTTGTTCACCTTTTAAGAAAATAAAAGAATTGCTTTTTTATTACTACTTACCTGGAGTCCCGTGTTCCATTGGTCGCTTCACATCGGAAAGGGGAACCACTAGCCCCCTATGCTATCTGGGGAGGCACCTTATGAATGCTCTTCTATTTTCATCATCTTGTGAGTGCATCCATTTAAGCGCACTATTCACTGTATTTATTGTATTACACTATTGTGTTTTTTTTTTCCTTTATATGTTCCCTCTATAGATTGTACAGCCGTATCCCATTTCTGTCTGTGGTTCTATGCATATGTTAAGATTGTTTGTTGTGGATAACGATCCTGGGAGGCTACAGATTGATTGAAGCTAAATAATTTATTTGATTAGAGCACTGATTTAAAGGTGTTCCCTTGCTTGTTTTGCTTATGTAACTATGTAACTATGTAACTGCTCATTAGCCTCTTTTTAGCTAAACAAGCCAAAGCCATGCTGCTCGATGTTGTTAACAGCTCCCAACACCACAATCATGCTCCTCCGGAACCAGCAGAGATGTCTTGTCCAGTTCCAACATGGACCAGACAGACAAGCCTTCATGTCAGTAGTTTGCAACAAAATTTCTTACCACTTTGATGAGCACACCCTACTCTTCTATCATGATCTGTCCAAAGCTACAATGGACTGGAGGAGGTCCTTAAGATCCTTAAATATTGAGTTAGTCAAGCATCAGATACCTTACAAGTGGTATTCTCCTAAGAGCCTCCTGATAACCCGAGATTCTAGGACTTTGAAAATCCCAGAGGCCTCAGAATTGGCCGTTACACTTCAGACACTGAGGCTGTCAACCACTACTGGGAAACAACCGCCCCCAGCATCTCC